GCTGCCGTGGGGAAGTGGTGCACAGCGAGTGAGGGCGCATGTACCGCCCCTTGCTGCTGCCCTGCCCAGGCTCCCAGGGCCCAGGCCATAGGGCAGCTGAAGCAGCCTGCTCCCGGCTTCCACTGGACGTGGGCCAAACCAAGGCCAGACCTGCTGTTTCCCCAGCGGGCAGCACGGTGGACACGTCCGCAGAGGCTCCCCACTGGGCGCTAGGCAGCTTACCGTCTGCAGCTCCCCGAAGGCCTCCTGGCAGCACTCACAATACCCCCTCCTCCTCTTGGGCACCGCCGCCGGGCCGGACCGGGGGCTCCCCTCTCTCGTGCTGAGGGGCTGGCAGGCCTCCGGGGCTCTGCAGGGGACACAGAATAGGGCTATACAGCTGTCATTCCCGTGCCAAGCCGCGGTTGTGCTGGGTGCCGTACAAGAGGGCTTCTGCCCCCGGGGCAGATGGGCTGAGACTGAGAAGACGGAGCACATGGGGACAGCGAGAACGCTGCTCAGTGTGACAGGACGTGGCCTCTACACTCCAGCAGCCTGACCAGTGTCAGGTCGGTGCAGGTCCTTGGCAAAGGGTGGAGGTGGGACCTGAAGGCAGAAGCCAGGGCACAAGGCTCAAGGGAGGTCCAAGCTGATTAAGTGGTCCTGGGGTGAGACCCTGTGAGGGGTCAGTAACTGGTTAAGACAGGAAACAGTCGGACTAAACAGTTCTCAGAATGGAGGGGTGCCCCCAGGTATTTGTACTGGGACCAATAATATTCAACACATTAATTCAGGGTCTGGAAAGAGAGAAAGCAGCGAGGTGGCAAAGTCGGAAGATGATAAAGCTACTGAAGAGAGTTAAGTCCCAGGCACGCTGCAGAGAGTTACAGAGATCAACGGCAATCTGTCGCCTGACGTCATCTCGGGAGGTGCCGCCTGCCAGGGGCCGTATCTGAGACATCACAGAGGCACTGTCGAGGATTAGCCGGCCCTCTGATTGCTACCCCATGCTACTCCTCCACGTGGGCACTAACGATACTGACAGCCCTACTTTCTCTTTCCTAAGCAGCAGAAGAGTTTGCTTTTGTGCCCTTAATAATCCCAATTAATCACACACGCTGCCCCTTTGAAACACCACTGCTAGAGTCCTCAGCTGACCCCAGGCTCAGTACAGCTGCCCCTTTAAAACCCAGCAGTGGAGCTTCAAAGGGGCAGCACCGCAGGAGCCCAGGGTCCGCTGGAGTCCCCAGTTGATCCATGGCTCCACGTTGCTGTCCTTTTGAAGTGCCACTCTGGCACTTCGAAGGGGCAGCACTGCACAGAGCCCGGGGTCAGCTGGGGACTCCAGCTGACCCCCAGGTTCCTAATGTGCTGCCCCTTTGAAGCGCTGAAGCAATTAACATGTTAATCCAGCCCTGCGTTAATCGCAGGCATTAACACAGATAAATTGACAACCCTAATAGAAAGTATGGCAAAAGACCACCTTGACTTAACCAGGAGATCGTGCATGATCTAAAAAAAATAAAAAAGGAATCATATAAAAAGTGGAAAATAGGACATGTTACAAAGGATCAATATAAGCAAATATGGGCATGCAGGGGCAAGATTAGAAAGGCAAAGGCACAAAACGAGCTCAAACTAGCTGCAGACAAAGGGAAACAAGACGACTTTCTATAAATATATTAGAAGCAAGAGGAAGACCAAGGACCGGGTAGGCCCATTGCTGAGTGAGGAGGGAGAAACAGTAACAGGAAACCTGGAAATGACAGAGGTGCTTAATGATGTCTTGGTGCAGACTGAAACGAAGAAGTCTGATGATGAAGGAATGCATAACAGTGAATGCTAGTGGGAAGGGGGGAGGTTTAGAAGATAAAATTAAAAAACGAACAAGTTAAAAATCACTTAGAAAAATCAGATGTCTGCAAGTCACCAGGGCCTGATGAAATGCATCCCAGGATACTCAAGGAGCTGAGAGAGGAGGTATCTGAGCCTTTAGCTCTCATCTTTGAAAAACCATGGAAGTCAGGAGAGATTCCAGAAGACTGGAAAAGGGCAAGTCAAGTGCCCATCTATAGAAAGGGAAATAAGAACAACCCAGGAAGCTACAGACCGGTCAGTTTAACTTCTGTCCCAGGGAAGATAATGGAGCAGGTAATTAAGGAATTCATCTGCAAACATCTGGAAGATAATAAGGTGACAGGTAACAGCCAGCATGGATTTCTAAAGAACAAATCATGTCAAACCAATCTGATAGCTTTCTCTGATAGGATAAGGAGGCTTGTAGATAAGGGAGAAGTGATGGATGTGGAATACCTAGACTTTAGTAAAGCTTTTAGTACGGTCTCGCATGATCTTCTTATCAATAAACTAGGCAAATACAACTTAGATGGGGCTACAATGAGCTGGATAATAACTACTCCCTGAGAACGGTTAACGGTTCACAATCCTGCTTGAAGGGCATAAGTGGGGTTTTGCAGGGGTCTGTTTTGGGACCAGTTCTGTTCAATATCTTCATCAATGATTTAGATATTGGCATAGAGTGTAGGCTCATTAAATTTACAGATGATACGAAGGTGGGAGGGGTTGCAACTGCTTTGGAGGATCGGGTCATCATTCAAAGTGGTCTGGACAAACTGGAGAAATGGTCTGAGGTAAATAGGCTGCAGTTTAATAAGGACAAATGCAAAGTGCTTCACTTAGGAAGGAACAATCCGTTTCACACATACAGAATGGGAAGCAACTGTGAGTCAGTGTAACGTTGCTACAAAAACAAAAACCCAAATAAACCCCAGACGACCTGCAAATATGATTCTGGGAGGCATCAACAGGAGTTTTGTGAGCAAGACACGAGAAGTCATTCTCCTGCTCTACTCTGTGCTGATCAGGCCTCCAGTTCTGGGCACCACATTTCAAGAAAGATGGAGAAATTGGAGAAGGTCCAGAGAAGAGCAACAAGAATCATTAACAGGTCTAGAGAACATGAACTATAAGGGAAGCCTGAAAGAACTGGGCTTGTTTAATTTGGAAAAGAGAAGATTGAAAGGAGACACGATAGCAGTTTTCAGGTATCTAAAAGGGTGTCAAGGAGGAGGGAGAAAAACTGTTTTCTATTCTTCTTGGCCTCTGAGGTTAGGATGAGAAGCAATGGGCTTAAACTGCAGCAAGGGAGGTTTAGGTTGGACATTAGGAAAAACTTCTTAACTGTCAGGGTGGTTAAACACTGGAATAACTTGCTTAGGGAGGTTCTGGAATTTTCATCTCTGGAGATATTTAAGAGCAGGTTGGACAGACACCTATCTGGGATGGTCCAGACTGTGCTTGGTCCTGCTGTGAGGGCAGGGGACTGAACTCAACCTCTCAAGGTCCCTTCCAGTTCTAGGGTCTATGATCGTAAAGCTGGGTGACTGGGCAAAAATGTCTGATGAAATTGAGTGTTGATAAGGGCAAAGCAGTGCCCATTGGAAAACATGAAATGAGCTGTTGCCACTTGAGAGATCTTGGCAGTGTTGTGGAGTGTTCTCTGAAAACACCCACTCAACAGGCAGCAGCAGTCAAAAAGCAAACAGAATGTTGGGAATCGTTACAGGGACAGATAAGGGTGCACCATGGTCACCCCACCTCAAAAAAGATCTACTGCTCTAGGGAAAGGTTCAGAAAGAGGCAACACCAATGATTACAGGTCTGGAACAGTTTTCCTATGAGAAGAGCATTTCAGTTTGGAAAAGAGACAACTAAGAAGGAATGTGGATGACCACATAAACAGGGTTATTTACTCCTTCCCATAACACAAGAACTAGGGGCTCACCAAACAAAATTAATAGGAAGAAGGTTTACAGCGAACAGGAAGTATTTCTTCACACAGTGCAGTTATCCTCTGGCAAGGAGTTCCACAGGTTGTCATGAAGGCCAAGACTAACACGGTTCAAGGGGGCGGGGGGAATAAGCAGAGCTGGATAAACTCAGGAAGAACATCACCCCACATATGACACTTGGTTAGGCCCCACCAGCTAAGCACCAGAGAAGGAATGCCCATGGACGGAATGCCTGACTGGCCAAAAGCAGCCTGTATCCACGCCTGGCAAACCACCGTACCAATCTTTGCACAAACACACCTGGGGAGGTACCAGTAACTCGCTGGTCATTAATCTTCTTAGACGACACCTGCATGCAACAGGGAGTGTCTCTGCCCCCATGTTCATCTCCGGAGGCTGCAGGAAGCCTGGGATGCCTACAGCTCCCAGGCAGCAGCAGGGCTGGAACAGCCATGCTCCTGGGCAGCTTGCACCACCTACCTCAGTCTGCAGGAGCTTGATGGGCTTTTTAGAGGCTCAAATGGGCTGGATCTGCTTGGTGCCAGGAAGTTCAGGTCAGGGAAGCTCTCGAACTGGTGATGGAAGGGCCGGAATCTCCTGCAAGCGCCAGTGTCAGACATTAGGCACGGCCCGTCTCACTTACCTGGGCCACCACAGGTTCCTCCCTTCCCGCCCCTCAGCCTTCAACCAAGCACAGGGGCATGAATGATGGCACCTCGAGGCTTCCACTTTGCTCTCCTTTCCATCTAACATGAGGACCAGAGAGCGCTGGGCTAGCTTCGGATTCAGTGTTACACCAGCCTTGACTCGGCCTAGAGGCTCCTCCTTGGGAGACTGCTGGGGCAGGCAGCTTCCTACAGAGCCATCAGGTCCCCTTGCTTTCTGCTTCCCAGAGAAGATGGGCAGAGTTCTAGGCCAAGGGTTCAGCTCTGGAGACCGCCAGCTCCAGCCTCTGCCCTCATTTCACCAGCACTGAACAAGCTCCAGGCTCTGCATCCGGGCAGGCTCCTTGGCTGCAAGTAGGGCTGGCCTCGTTTCTGCCTCTCAGAAGAGACAGGGCAGTGCTGTGGAGGCCACCTGCAGCCAAGCCTGCAAAGACTCTGGGATTTCCATGAGCATCCTGGGCTCCGCAGCACCAGTGGGCAATTCTATCCCTGGCTTTTCCAAGTGCAGGACAAGGGGGAAGAGGGAATCCCAAGGCAACCCTCTCCCCGCACCCTCTCATGCCATGAGCAGAGCTGGACTGGGCCCAGTGCTCCATCAGCCGCCTGTGCAGATCAGTGAGGGACAGTTGCAGCTAGAAATGCCTTGGGAGCGCAGTGGCTTCTTTACACTCCCCCAGCCTGGGACACCAGGACCCGGGGTGCTTATCTGCCTAGCAGTGGCCCCCATGAGCCCGTTATGCACCTGGTCCACTGCACTAGAGATGTTAAAAATGGTGAAAATCTCCACGGTTACTGCGCTGTGGCCCTGCGGTAGAAAGCTTTATACTTGCAGCAACACAGCCTCCCCAGGAGTGGAGCCGGCAGCCCCTGCCCGCCTGGCTCCTGGGGAGAAAGTTTTGCTACCCTGCCACAGCCAAGCTGCCGCCCGGGGAGGCTGAGTGTAACCAACACCAATAAGCATCTGCTTATGGCAGGGGTGGCCAACTCGTGTCTCGTGAGCCGCGTGCGGCTCTTCACCACAGAAAGCGCGACTCGCAAAGCGTACCCCACGGCTCACGAAGCCGCCCCTGCAAAGGGCCCCCAGTTCCCTGTGCTCATCGGGGGTAGGGGAGACGTCCGGCACAGCGAAGCAAAATGGCACCAGCCAATGGGAGCCTGATGTGGCCAAAAAGCCAAACCAGAATTTTCTTTTAAAGCTGCGTCTTCCCCCCAGGCAACTTTGCCCCTTGCACTATGTGCACAACTATTTTGGCTCTTTGCCTGTAACACGTTGGGCACCTGGCCTATGGGTTAAATGGTTAGTCGTTTCATTTTTAGATCTCCACACGGCACAAGAGCACTAAGATGGCTCCTGGCCCAAGGAGCATCCCCCCAGGCAACCCATTTCCCTCTGTTTCTCTCACCTCCAGCAGTGGGGTGGAGTTTGTCCATGCAGTGCAAGATTTACCCCAAACCTGCTGACCAATGGGAAATTCCCCTTCTGCTCTTTGCGCTTTGTTACATGCAACTCCCAGACTGAAGCTTTGGTCCTGTAGCCAGGCAGCAACCCAGCAGACACTCACTCCAAAGAGCACGTAAGGCACTTCAGTTCCAGACACTGTCCTCCCCCATTACCTCTAAAGGATTGCCTGTCTTAGCTGCACAATGAGCTACACCCCAGAAACAACTGCATTCTAGTAAGAAAGTGCATCAGAAGCCTCAGTCCCGTAGCACTTGCTGCCTCCCAGGGCTCATCACAGATGTTACTATAGGGACAAAGGCAGCCTGGCAAGTGGCAAGAATCTGTTCTTGGTGGTTTTGAAGCCTGAAATTCTGCAAGTGAGCAGAGCAGCTCTCAGAGGCCCAGAGCATCACAGTAGACACAGGTAGGAAGAGACCTCAGGTGGTCATGGAGCCTCCTGGTCAAAGCGGAGCCAATTCCAACTACATCATCCCAGGCAGGGCTCTGAGGTGCTGGTGATGCCGGTGCCAGAGCAGCCCCCCATGCTGCCCCCGGACACTCTGCTGAATGCTGGCTGCCAACTGGCCGTGGAGCCGCTGAGTGGAGCCAGTCAAGCCCAACGGCCTATCTAGCTCCTCCTTGCTCCACCCCCCAGGCCATGCTGCTGGAAGCATCCGGGGCCCACTGTGGTGACAGCTGTGCATGGACACAACCTGCCCTCACACCACACCAGGGCGGAATGACCCCCACTTGACACAGGAACTGAGGCCCAGGGAGACGAAGGCCCACTTGGAACTGGTTGACCTAGGAACGGAGCCCAGGCTTCCACCCAGCACGGCCATCCCTGGTGCAGCCTAGGCTACATTTCTGGACTGCACTTCTCAGCACTAGAAGTGCAGCAGCAAAGCAGCTGTGAACGGGGGCTTGGCAGGTTACACTAAAGGTCACAGGGCAGGGAGCCTAGGGCTGAGGGACCCCTTGCAGTCCTTTGGCAGGAGCGCAACATCTGGCCACAGTTGGGAGGATCAGCTTGAAGTGGCTCATTCACCTGCTCTGGTCCTCGATCTTCAGAAACGGAGGCTTCAGTTTCCTCACTAGAAGGAGAATTTCACAGTTAGCAGCTGCTGGGACCCCTCTCCCCCAGAGCACCCCCTGCACTGCCCCATGGGGAGGACTTTATCCTAAGCCCGAGCCCAACCAGCCTGGGCTGATGCCAAAACCTGAGGCTCCAGCCCTGGAAGGTGGGGCTCACATTCCCGGCCCCTGATGAAGCTGAAGTCCTTGGGTTTCACTTTTTCCCTCCTGCCCCACCCCAGGACATCAGGGCTCAGGCTCTCTGCCCACCTGAAGCACTGGGCTCAGGCGTCGGTGCTCCAGGACTGCAGGAGGGGTCACAGTGCAGTGACGTTCGAGAACCCTGGGCTTGAGAACTGGGGACGGTTCCTTCTTTAGCCCGGCCCAGAGAGCTCAACACCAAGTCTGACCACCCCTGCTTGGGGTAGAGTGACCCCAGGGCCTCTGAGCAGGTGGGAGCCAAAGTCTTTCATCCAGGACAGCAAGTCACCAGGGGAAGTAGCTGGGAAAGCACCAGGCGGGGATGTTGCCACAGCAGTGCTGGGTGCTCAGCACTTTTCAAAGTCAGACCCATATTTAGGGACCTAAAGCGAGGCTGGAAGTGCAGCAGCATTTGGTACCTGCATAAGCTAAAGCAAGTGCTCTGATTACTGACAGCCCCCACCCCACTGGCACTGAGTGCAGTCTCAGCACTGGCTCTCCGGCACGGAGCTCTTCCAGGGCGGACAAGAGTGAGGGCTAGTGTCAGGGGCAGCAAGGGGGCCAGAGCTCCAGCCATCTTGGTCCCACTCTATAGGAGCAAAAGAGGCACAGGGCCACGGTGCCCCAGCTCTCAAGGTCACCTTTAAAACCCCACAGCCTGCTGCAGAGAGTTAGGGGACAGACTTGCTTCCAGCCTGAATGCTTTGAAGGCAACAAAGGCTTCTCCCAACATTCCCTTTCTGGCAGGACGAGGCAGGGCACAGACTGCACAACCGCCCTGGTGGTCTAGGCCATGGAAGCACGGCCACACTGGAGCTATGTGTGCTACCCATCCCATCTGGGCAGTAGCGAGCCGAGTATATAAACACGGGGGATTTTTTAAGGCAGGGTCAGTCCTACTGTGGCACTGCAGCAGCATATTGCAACCTCCTGCTAACAGCTGTGAGTGGGATGTGGGGAAATGTGCTATCTGCGGAGGAGGTTTTATTCCTACTTCTTTTCCCAGCCAACAGTGGATTCAGAAACTTAAGCACCAGTAGCACAGTCCTCACCCTAACTCCCAGTTCTAGAAGCCCTGCTAGAAAGCCTCTCATAGCGCAGAAGAGACCAGCTAAGCAGACAAATGAGTGACAAGTTTACACGATCCCGCTGGGTATCAAGAGCATAAAGCCAGACACACAGGCAACATCTCTGCTGTACATCAAAGTGCCGCACAGGCTTTAGAGCACAGCAAGGGGAGCCCAGACAGAACGAGTCGGATCTTGGACAAGGGCCGTAGAAGGTTTACCAGAAGCCCCATCCTTAATGAGTGAGGCTTTCTGGCTCCACTTAACCGCAGGGACCGGAGCGGCTCCCCTCCAGCCCAGCAGAGCCCACTCTAGCCCGATGGAACCTGCTGCAGGCAGGGACTGCTCTGGCCAGTTGGGCTGCCATGGCCAGGGGATGTTACAGCCCAGCCCCCCGCACGCAGGTTACACACTGTGGCTCCTGGCTGCAGAGCCTGTGGCAAAGCCTTCTGGGGAGCAGGTGAGCAGCCCCTGCTGCTAGTGAGGCTTCCCTGGTAGAAGCTTAGCTTTCCCCGCAGAGCCTGCAGCATGGCACCGCTCACATTCTTGGCAGTTACATGGTTCCCTCTGTAAATGATTTTACATCCCTCACCTGGGCAGTACACGGCTTTGATGGAACAGAAGTTCTCACAAAAGCAAATAGTTTTGTTGAGTGTCACTGGGTAATGTCATGGAAATGCCCCACAGCTGAGAATAAAACGTCTGTACTGACCTTTAAGGACTCCTGGCCCCACTGAGAAACACTTCACCTAGACAGAAACAGACAACAGCCACTCAGCAGCCTTCCAATTCCAGAGCCGGGGGTGGGGAAGAAGAGAAGGAGAGGGGGGAGGGAGAAGGGAAAATGGGCAACCCAGGGTACTTCCATCCTTAAGGAAGCCTTCAGATGCAGCTGCATACCACATGGACACTAGCGGTGCCTCACTCTCTCAAGGCCTCTGCAGTGGCAGGGAACTGATCATGTGACCTGCCCAGATGATCTGGTGAGACCCCCATACTGCATAGGAAACCCCCCCACTCACCCAACATCTGCCAGTTTGACCTGGAGGAAAATTCCTTCCCAACCCAACAGCGAGTGATCAGTGTGACCCTGAGCATGAGCAGACACACTAACGAGGCAATGGAGACATCATTCCCTGCACTGCCTCCGGGCACTGGTCCACCCTGTTCAGCATCATCTCCAGCTGTGGCCAATCCCTGCTGTTTTAGAGGCACGTGAAAAACCCAGAACATCTGACCAAAAGAACAGATTCTTTCCTGACTAGGGATGTTCAAATGACACTTTAGTACGTGTAAGCACTGAACTTTCCAGCCGTTACACGTTCACATGCAGGGGGAGCAGGCGGTGTTCACATCCCTAGCCCTGACCTCTGCAGGCAGCTTTGAGCCCTGAAATGTGAGATTTAATAACCACTCTTTCTGCACAGCTGCTTGTGTCAGACATGCAGAGGACAGTGGGAAAGGCAGAGCAGCACTTCCTGTTCACCAGTCCACAAAGGAAGGGCTGCAGTGCTGCTCTCAGAGCAGGATAAAGAATCTTTTTGCATAATCCTAACTGCACCCTCCCAGCTCAGCCGTTCACTCCCTCCCAGTGCTGGCAAGCTGCATCTGGTGTCAGTGGCATATGTCCAAATTAATCCAACCACCAGGCGGGAGCAGAGTTGAAAGCCCCTTTCATGACCAAGGATCCTGTCCATGGGTCAGTGCTTAGGCACCGTGAGCAAGTCACCCTCAGCTTCCTCTTCAGTAAAATGAAGACTGAGTTTAAGCCCCAGCATTGTGAGGCTGGCTTTCCAGGGCCTAGATCATTTGTGCTCCCTTTGGGATCTCTGGCATGTCCGCATCTTTCCTGATGTGTGGACATGAGAACTAGGCAGCGTTCTAGTAGCTGTCTTACCAACACCAGACAATCCTAGGAATGAAGGGATCTAGATGGATCATCCAGTCCCACACTAGCATAGGCTTAAGTCAGTCTAGAACATCCCTGACAGGTGTCCATGCTAGCCACATGTGGCTATTTGTTGGGTTGAGTGTGGCTAGTCTGCTATAGCAGTAGCCACTATAGTGACTACTGTAGTAATAAAAGGACCTGACAATAAAGGCCTGGTGTGAGGCCTAAGGCCTGAACAATAGTCAATGCTTTGCTAACAAAGCAAAGCTAAACTGTGAGCAAGAGGCAGGTCCTACTCTCAGAAACTAGGCAAGGACAGGGCTGCTGATATTGCAGAAACACACATACCTAGGAGGAACTAGGCACAGGCCAGGCACAAACATTTCAGGAGGCTGGTAACAGAACATCTTGCTGCAGAAACATCTGGGTACCAATACACTCCCCATAGATAGCAGGGACATACCGACACAGGGTCAGGATGACAGCATGATGGATAGGGATGTTTTGATCAAACCACTACATACAAGGTAATTGATTATATCTAGGTACATCAGGTGGAGTCAATCTAATACATTTAAGGCTGGTAACCTGGTACATAAAGAAGTGATGTCAGTTTGTTCATGTCTATAAAAGGCCACCGCAAATGCTGCATACTGGCCGACCTGGAGGGTGCGCTAGGCACCTGAACAGCAGGTGTTATTGCCTAGACTTACAGAATACACAGTGGCTTAACTTTGACTAACCGCTATTAATATAGTGACAGAAATGTAGCCGTGTTAGTCTAGTGTAGCTGAAACAAAATACAGGACTATGTAGCACTTTAAAGACTAACAAGATGGTTTATTAGATGAGCTTTCGTGGGCCAGACCCACTTCCTCAGATCAAATAGTGGAAGAAAATAGTCACAGCCATATATACTAAAGAATACAATTTAAAAGCAACTGTCATTTCAACCAGAAAGGACACCGTCTCAATGACCTGCTAACCTGCATCCTACTTCAGAAGACATTCAAATCTGCACTTGAAAGGGAATCCTCTGAACTGGCATTCATGCTAAAATTTGACACTCTCCGCAGGGGACTTAACAAAGACTCCAACTATCTTACCCATTACAAAGATAGCTTCCCCAATTATCACCTCTAATACTGTTAACTCACAGACATCTACCCTTCCCCACCTCTAATATCATTAACTCACTGGCATTCACCTTCCTCCCCCCCCCGTATCCCCCTTCTTGTTCTGAAATGTGATTTGTCCTTTTCATATGTGTTCATTTTTTTAAATTGTATCCTTTGGTATATATGGCTGTGACTATTTTCTTCCACTATTTGATCTGAGGAAGTGGGTCTGGCCCACGAAATGAAATGTGATTTGTCCTTTTCATATGTGTTCATTTTTTAAAATTGTATCCTTTGGTATATATGGCTGTGACTATTTTCTTCCACTATTTGATCTGAGGAAGTGGGTCTGGCCCACGAAAGCTCATCTAATAAACCATCTTGTTAGTCTTTAAAGTGCTACATAGTCCTGTATTTTGTTTCCACTATTAATATCTGTTATATGGCAATAGGCCTGTTATGTGTTGGTACCTTGTCAACACGGCCAAAGGCGCAGTGGTGTAGCATTGTAGAATCTGCTACCAACTGTTAGAGCTTTGCATATGACAAACCTACTTGATTGATTTCAAGCCTTGCCTGCCTCTGTCGTTTCTGGGGGCTCTCAGAGATCTCCTGTGTTGACCCAAGTGCACGGGGTCCAACACTCTAGATAAAGGGAGCACTGATGGTTATGCACGCAGCTGAAAGTGTATCACCGATGGACTAGAGGTTCTGTCAGGAATGCACTGGGACATCCCTGACTAGAGGGCACGGAACACTGGCAGTACAGACGACACTGGAAGTTATGACAGCTACTGCTTTGGAACTGGTTGGACACCACAGGTCTAAACCAAACCATCACTTCCCTACTTCTGATTTTTCTATACTTGTTCTTTACCACACTTTTACACAGATCTCATATTGAGTGAATATCTACAGACACTGTCCTGCTGAGTCACTACTTCCCTCAAAACAGTCTTCCTTCTGTACATATAACCTGGATTCCTTGATGTATTACTTTACATTTGGCTGTATTAAAATGCATTACTGGATTGTGATCATTGAATTATTTAGATTACTAACAGTATCCTGTCCTCTTAAATTACTGCACTAATCTTTGGGTCACCTGTAACTTTATCAAAGATTTTGTAGTGTTACCTAGAAGGTTTATGGGGAACATGTCATACTGATTTATTTTGTTGAGCTTACAAGATCGACTGAAAGTAGTAACAGTGTTGATGTTAGAGGCTTCTGTGTACTTCATGATACTTTGATTAAAAACTAGTATGTAAAGTTAATGTGTCACATGCTAAATGCATCAAAACTGGCTCTCTCCTCCAACAGATGCATTTTTACTGGGGTCCTGCAGAGATCAGTTCTTGGATCTATGCTATTTAAAGTCTTTAGGTTTTCTGTCAGGTCATTGTCCTGATAATACAGGACAATGTAGCACTTTAAAGACTAACAAGATGGTTTATTAGATGATGAGCTTTCGTGGGCCAGACCCACTTCCTCAGATCTGAGGAAGTGGGTCTGGCCCACGAAAGCTCATCATCTAATAAACCATCTTGTTAGTCTTTAAAGTGCTACATTGTCCTGTATTTTGCTTCAGCTTCCCCAGACTAACACGGCTACATTTCTATCACTGTCCTGATAATGTTTGCCAATGAAAAACTCCATGGGGATGCTGTGGCCAAGTGGGCTAATCCTTGGGTGCATAAACAGGGCAATCTCAGTTAGAGATAATATAACTATTGCACCCATGTCAAATAAGAGTACAACTGGGGCTGGAACTCTGCATCCAGTTCTGGGGTAGGTAGTTTAAGGAGGATGTTAAGTTGGGGAGAGTTCAGAGAAGAGCCATAAAACTAGTCAAAAGCTTAGAAAACCTGCTGTGCAGTGAAAGACTCAAGGAGCTCAGTCTGTCCCTCAAAGAGGGTAAGGTGTGACTTGAGCACAGTGGGTAAATATCTATCTAGGGAACAACTATTCCATCATGGGCTCTTCAATCTAGCAGAGAAAATGTAACATAATCCAGTGGCTGCAAGTTGAAACTAAGTTCAGACTAGAAAAAAAGTAACCAACTGTTGGAACAGTTTACCCAGAGCCACAACGGATTCTCTATCCTGAGATGTTTTAAATCAATATTGGATGTTTTCCTAGAAGCTCTTCTCCAGGAATTGTTTGCAGGAAGTTCCATGGCCCATTTACATAGGAACTCAGACCCTCCTGGCCTTTGTATCTAGGCATTGTTAATAAAAATATTGATCAGCATTGGAGAAATCTGACCCCTGTGGAGCCCTGCTCATTGACCTTGCATGTTCAGCCAAGCCCTAAAGTGAACCTGCTGTAAGACCCTGGGCTAGCTAAAGGGGCAAAAACCCACTTGATTTCACTCCTGTTACCAGGAAGCCCTGGAGTGGGGGCAAGGTTTAAGTGAGTTACCGTCATCTTCTCACTCTTCTTCCTTGCTCTGGTTGTGCGGAACAGCAGCTGCTGCACATAGGCCATCATGTCTGCATGGGGTGGGAGGTCAAGGAGCCAAAGCCCAGAGAAACAGCAGGAGCCAATACCCCACAGCAGACATAGCAAACAGAGGATGAACTGCAATTCCATACATCGACCCTCCTCCACCACCTGTGGGCAAAGTGTGGTATTGCACATCCTCCGTCCAGGGAAGAAGGGCTGGCCAGAGCTAGTGGCCTGATTGGAGGGAGCTGTTTGTTGGTTGCTACAGCTAACCCCCAGGGAACCGATCACAACAGCCCAGCAAATGTAGACAAGCCAAAAGCAGCAGTTGGAACCAAGAGCTTTTGGCTCTAGATGCTGGCTGCTGTGCTCTCCTCCTGAACGGATGGGGCTTGCTACATGCCAGGTCAAGGCACTTCCGCAGGACTTGTGACACTATTGATGCTAAACATGGTTTGTGCCAATGCCAAAGCCTTCATGGCTATCAATCCACAAGGGCCTGGCTTTGACAGAGGCCAAGGTTATGCCAAGTGGCAGTTCTGTGCCTCTGCCTGGCAACTGGAATCCTTGGCTCAGGAGAGGACGGTTGCAGTCAGATGGTCTGACAAAGCCCACCCCTCCTCCCCTCAGATCTTAGAAGACCCTTCCTTCAAAGTCTGTTTTTTGAGGCCAGCAAAGCCTCAGTCAATGTGATCCATTGCC